TAAAACTGGTGACCCGCATCAGCTACGCGGTACCTTCCTGTAGTCCCTGGGGTCCTCGTCACCATCTGCCAGAAAAACACACAATGCACAAAACACTGCCGGCAACCAGCAGCACACCCCTCAATGCCAGACTCATCCACACATCCCCCTCCTTATAAGCACCATGGGCTCTCCACTCACCTGCTTCGCACAGATTCCAAAATAAGATGCTGCAGCAGTCATCGCTTTTAGCGCCTAGGAGGTGAAGAGAAATAACATTACTGTTGTGCTGGAGAACACAGACCAGGACAAATCAACGTGTTAACCCCAGACCCTTATTGCTGTCCCACCTACCTCTGACTCTACACCCCCGGGCAGGGCAGCTCCACCACAAATGCACCCCTGTGAAACCCAACACCACACACCACAATAGACACTGCGACTCAAACATCAGACAACACTCTCTGCAAGAAGAATGACTTCCAGACCAGAGGAGCTATTGGACCAGAAGACCTGCATGGCCACAGCCCTGACATCAAGAGGCTCTATGACCATTCCATAAGAGAGTCAAATTTAATGGCCCAGTACAAAAACCTCCTGTCAAAACAGACAGGATGTACACACAAGAAGCCTGGCTTCAAGACCTAGAGAAAGTAAGGATGCAGGGAAGAAATCCCAGTCCCTGAAAATGGATGGCTAGAGAACAGAGCCGCTCGCGCAGCCGGGAACGACAACAGAAAAATAGGACCATCCCAACATGTCCAAGATGCAGGTCAGATCCACGTTTTAAGACTGTTACGCAAGAAAAGAAAAGAAGCGCCCCTTGGGCACGATGCTGATGAGTGCAGGTATTCCAGACCCTACAGGGAGTGCCTGGGGCACCCACTGTGCCCCTTGAGTACAAAGAGCAATGAGGACAGCAAGACCTGAGGAAAGTTTAAGACATAGGAGACAAACCACATAAACTACACAACAGACACTACCCAGAACTGCCGTGCCTGGCACACGCTGGATTTGTGCTGAAAAGTAACCCACTGGCCTTACCCACCCAGAGTGGGCTGCTCTGGGACAGCCCCCTGCTCTGCTCTGACTTTAGAACGCCCCCCGCTTCAGCTCTTACCCCCGTCCCCACCTCTCAGCCCCTCCCCAGCCTGGGTCCCTCAACTTAGCTTGCAGAAAGCCAGGGGGGCTTTACTCTCCTGTTGACAAAAAAACCAACACATCAGCTATCTGGGACGTTACTACAGTCATCAGGTTCCTCTTCACCATCTGCAATTAAAAAAAAAAATCCATAACCAGCACCAGCAAGAAATATCACACAGGTCAGCGCCGACCTCTCCCACAACTCACCCTCCTCAAAACGGTGATGGCGTTCCGCTCACCTGATCCTTCCAGAGTCAGACGCTGTCACCATTGTCACTTCTGGCACCTGACATACCAAGAAATAAAAGTGGTGTCACACATGTGAGAAGTGACTGGCCCCATGCTTCTCTTCCCTACCGTCCCAGCTCACAAGTCACAGAATCACAGAATCTTCTAGGTTGGAAGGGACCTTAAAGATCATCTTGTCCAACCGTCAATAATAGTACTGATCAGATTCCAAAGGTGGCTCAGAAAGACCCTGCACAACTGCAAGGTAAATATTTGAGTTGCCATATCATACTGTACTATTAGACACCAATACAGCCCACAACAGCCTCACCTTCTCGGCCCGTCCACAGGCATGAGGCTTCGCTTCTCTGAGCCTGTGTGAGGTATCTGAAAAATACAAAGCAAAAGCCATGTGCTGAGATATGGCCCGAAACCTCAGCCGACCCCCAGCGAGTCCTGTACCCCGCTCCTTTACCTTGGCTGCTCGCCCGACTGCCCTCCGTGATTTTTGGCTGTCGCTTTGAGGCTTGCACACCCTCTGTAAAACAGAGCCAAGGGACACTTTGAACATCATCCAGAACACAACACCTAGAAAGAAGGGCTACTACTTATTGCTCACCTTGACTGGGTCACCTCCGGTGCCAATAGCCTGCTTCACTCATCACTTCATGTCTGAAAAGTTAAAACCCCACTATCAAGCCCTAATATAGTCCCGTAGCCGCCACCTGCATTTTCCCCTCACGCCATGCATCGACTCACCATCTAACCGTGCCCTGCTCGCTTTCTCCATTGCTCTTTGGTGTGTATCTTGTCCCTCTGCATCTGAAAAAACAATAGTAAACAAGTCACCCAGACGTTGATCAGCAGCTGAAAAATGCCAGGGGTCTGGGTTCCTTGCAGGAATACCATCTTCACTCCAGCTACAGCCTACCATTAAAAAACAAAACCAAAACCGGACCAAACATTAAGCCCCACACATATGAGCGTGAAAACCTTCAATCTGCTTAACAGCCAAACATCCCCTCCCAGAAGGGTCTGACCATCTCCAGTAAACACTACGGAAATGAACGCTCCTGCCCACAGCTACTTGATCTGAGTTGACTACACA